GCGAATGGAAAGTGGTAACTTTAACTAAATGGATAATTGGAGCAACTATATTAGGTGTAAATGCAATGATGGGTACAAGAGGAATAACACCTTTGGTTGTAACTTATATGATGTTTTTAGAGGCTCCAAAGACACCTGGAAATAGAGGATCTGGTGTCTGGTACAGAAGAAAAACTGACGGATAGAAAATAGACAAGAAATGTTATGTAGATTATGGAAAATGTATAAATTGGATTAAATTAAAAAGCGGAAGATGTATGATTTTAATTACAGGAAATTTATACAAATATTGTATTGAGCAATGACAGTACAATTGTAATGAAGCAATATAAAATTGAGAAATGAGAAGTAGAAATTATTAAATAATTAAAAGTGTTTGTTGAAATACTGAGATGTAATATGATGGGGTAAAAGACTGTACAAATTTTTGTACATGCTTTACATTGAAGGTACAATAAGAAATTGTTAAGAATTTAAAAGTGTATGGGATGTTTTATCTCATAGACAGAGGCATTGCTGGATATGGTGGAAGAGAAGCCCCAGGAACCCAGAAGGAAGGTGGCGGCCAAGGTCTTGCTTGAGACTTGAATCCCAATCCATTAGACACTGTAAAAAGTGTAAGAGAAGGGAGAGGCCGTACCTTTATCTGACCTCACATGGACAGATATTCAATGGGTATCTTTAAGGGGAGAGTACATTGGAGCATGCCAACATGAAATAAGCAATTTACAGCTTTTGCAGCAAAAATTTGGGCAGTACCTAACCATTGTGAAGCAGTGTATAATAATTTGGCCCCAACATGATATTATAAGAGATTTGGTGCTTAGAGAAGATGTGTTGAAACCAAAAAAGGGAAAAATTTGGATTAAAGAGTACATGAACGTTATTGGGAAAATGAAGATAACTATAAGAGGCCAGATATACAATGAATGAATGAAATTCAGCAAAAAGACCAAAACCTTTGAAGGGTATATGCACATGAAAATAAAAGTAATAAATGTGTTGGACTGAACCAGGAAAATAGCAAGAAGGGGGTGTTTTGGATATGGATAATTGTATTGCTATTTACCCGTTTCAATGTTATGTTATTTGCTTGTTTTATGTTAATGCCATATACGCTTTGATACAAAGATGCTTGCACTTGCAATACTTGCTTTGTTAGGATGAGTAAGCAACAGTTGTGAAAGACAGGCTTATGAGTTTGATGCTATGTAATCAACCACAAAGGTTAAAGGGGTCATATGATGCGATTTCAATTTTTCCTTTCTCTTTGGAGTGTTACAAGCTCTTGGTGCATAAAGAAGATGTGTAAAGTTGCAAAGACTAAAGTCTCTTTATATATATTCTTTATATATATTCTTTATAGAAGTTAAGAGTCAACCACACCTACCTAAAAAGGCTCGTTCTAACACGCCCCCACATGTCTACGTCACGATGTGGGAAGATTTGCATAACGCCGACCAAATGTTCACGCAAAGAAGGGCGACGTAACTTTTATTCTCGCTGTAGTATTGTTGCTGCAGCCATGTCGTGAAGATGCTATGCTGTGTGTTTCGATATGAAAGCGAAACTACTTTGTTTGGCCTTCCAAAAGAGGACGATATCCACTTCGATTGACGTGTTTCAGAAAGGCGGGGCATAGAGGAGAAACAATAATGTACAGTATGTGGAAAATAACGTGTTTTTTTAACCTTAAACCGCATAAACACATTTCATTACACCAAATACACAAAATAATGTTCCTTTTAGCAACATCATATGACCCCTTTAACAAGAGGGTACACAGGGGTGAAGAGAGCATGTTGCAACATCAAGTGGAGGTGAGCCAGACGAAGACTACGATGAAGAAGAGGAAGAGTACTAGACACAGACAGAACGTAAGCGACAAATAAAGGACATCCGCCATGAGTCACAGACATTGATGAGTAATTGGAGTTACCCAAAAAGTAGTATAAAAGGTCTGAGTAGTAAACCACTTTTCAGATGCTGCCTGCATTAAGCGTGAAGCACACCTGATACCCTAACGAGGGGCGCTTAACAGCATCTCCAATATTGCTGTTTATAGAGTTTGATTATAGAACTTGTAACTTAGCTGATTTGTTTATTTTATTTTTGCATGAACTGCTTTGTATTGTAACCAATAAAATAAGAGATTCTATTGTTATGATTGCCTCCAGTGAGACTTTACTTTTAACTACAAACTGAGCCTCAAACAAGAACAACCAACAAGGGAGTCTTCTACGTCATTCCTGAAGGACTTCAACCTGCGGGCGGGTGAGTGCTTTATGGTTTAGGCTAGATTCGACTATCCTTACCCTACCTGAATAATCATAGGGTTAAAGGTGTAAGATAAAAGGACACACCGAGTAACAAGGCTTAAGAGAATCTTTAGCAGTGGAGAAAATCAACGAAACATGAACTGTTTGACTGTGATAATGTCCGATATTTTTAGAGACACGTTAACATCTCCGACACAGTTTAAAAATGCCATAGCGCCAGAAATGAAAGTAATCACTGCATTAACTACGGCCATGTTCACACTGTCAGTTTTAGGGATTGAAAACCGCATTTCCTTACAGGTGTGAGTCTCGAAATGTCCCGTTGAAACAGCAGCTTACAGTAGTGTCTCGAACACGGTCTAACTAGGAACGTGCAACGAGAGTCAAGCCCGTATATGCACTCACATCCTTTCCTGCATCTCGCACACGACACTGAATTTGAGTCACGCACAGAACACAAAACTGATGGAAACCACTCCAGTGGAGAACAGTGACTGGATTGTGTGAACGTGGCTGTACATTAACATATTTGGCAACTGGAAAAATGCAACTTTGCAGCAGTGATGATTTGGGGTGTCATAACCTTCTACAAGCAGAGTGATCACACAAACAATTACAGCACTTTCAGAACCTTAACAGCATGGTAAGTAAAAAGTAATATATATATATTTATTTATTAGGGATGTCAATTTTTTATCATTTCCATGATCGATCGACACGGAGACCGCTGAACGCGCCTCTTTAAATGGTATCGTGGTGCTTGTTATTGTATTTTAAAACACAATTGCAATGTTTTCAACTGACATTATGGCATTTAAAATAAAATGATCCCAAACGTAACTGTGGCGCGTGTGGCTGTGCTGCGCAGTCAGTGAACCGCTTCCATCGGTGCTGCTGCAGCAAAACATACTGTTGCTAACATGAAACATTATCATGCGAGTATTATGACCAGTACTTAATTTGATCCTGCTGGATCCTGTTCCGGAAAATGTCAGATTTTGAATTTTTGCGTTGCGGTAGGCCTATTTGTTTTTAAAAACCCGGCATTTACAGCGCATTAGATCGTGACAGTGCATGCTTGCGTGCATACGAGACGGAGCGAGCGCGGGTTGTTTAGATGTATTTGGAGGTTATTACTCACGTCTCATTCGGCACAAATCCAAATGTTTCCATATTCGC